TAAATAAATAAATAAATAAATAAATAAATTCTGTTATAAGCAACTGTAAACTTCTTGCAGCAGGAGCAGAAAGCTTTTAACCCAGACCCTATAGAGCTTCAGCACCAACTTCTACTATTTGAGCTATGGCTAGCATCCTATTAAGGTAGTTACTAGAGACAGGCCTGACACACACTTTCCCTTGAGTTACACAACTATTTATTAGACTGCAGTAGAAAACTGGAGTTCAGGAATGCTGGTGTGTGTTTCTGGAGCTGGGAGGGCACTGTGGTGAGCTGGTCGTCGATAGAATAACCAAACCACACACACAGGGACAGATCTTCTGCAAAGCAGAAGGAATCAAGCCATTGTTTTGTTCACAGCTCCAAGCCCCTTTCAGCCAGCACTCAGCCCAAAACTCTCTCGCTAGGCTTTTCTCAGGCCCACACTCCCAGTGCTTGTTATGCTTCTTCCCTGTGTCCGCCTCTGTGCTGTGTAATTGCTGCTTCTCTCTCACACTCCCCCGCTCCCCGCCGCCGTCAATAATACCCAGCCAAACCCCTCCACCCACATGTGCCTGACACAGGCCTTTATTTTGGGCAGTGGCATGTGCCTATATTTGGGGTGGAGGTGCTAGTTTTTTCAGCTCTCTGGTTCCACAAAAGGGCTTACTGGCTTCTTACCCCTGTCTTAAATTAAGGGCAGTGGTTATGCCCAACTAGGGAGGCCGTTCATCCAGTATTAAACCGATTGGTGCTCTGTTTGAGACCTTTGTCCCCTGTCCTGCACTGGGTTTTGTCTGGTATCAGATGGGGCATGCTGCTCTGCCTCTTCTGGCACCTCTCACCCCAGTGCAGCATGACCTCACACACACGGTGTGTACAAGGTCACACTGGTGGGAGCAGGGTGGCGCACACTTAAAGATAGCGGTGCCCCATTCAGCGTGACCTCACATGCACCATCTCACCAGCAGGATCAGGATCACACCAATGGGGGTGGGGTCACACCATTCTCAGAAGTACTGGAATGTCTGGTATTCCGGGAACATGTGAGTGCCCATCTTATGTCCAACCCATAACAATATGGCTGGGTTTGGTTGTGTTTTTTTTTTTAAACCACTTTTACTACATTTCTTAAAAATAGAGGTTTAACAGTGCTGTCACAATAAAACTCTGCCAAAACTTTAAAAATGCTGCCACTCCACCAAAATATGACACTAGGGCCTGATCCTTCACTCCTTACTCATGTAAAGATTTCATTTAAGCCAGTGAGAGTTTGTCTTGATTCCTGCCAGCATGCTGATGGGGCCCTTGGTGCTGCTGTTAGATTAGTGTAGTCTTCTGGATGTAATGCAAGAAAGAAACCGAGGTAAGAGTGTAAGAGAGGGTGTCTTGTGTTATCCAGAGAAAAGCTATAAACAGGGGGTCAGTAATAATCGCACAATACTATACACTCCCCACTAACATCTGTAATGTCTCGTCAGACCCCAGTGCAGTGTGGACAGGCACTGACCTGCTATGAAAACTGTTGATATTTTATCTTGGTTGACAAGTGGGTTCCTGACAGAACAGGACAAGTTCTGGTTGGAATCTTCTGTTATAACAATAGAAATCTGAGTTTGAAATAGGCCATTGTCCGCCTTGGATATTTTTTCAGAGGCAGATGATAGCAGCTGCCCATGGTGATCTCTCCACTGAGCCTCAGGTTCTGGGTGCCACCCGGCCGATTGACACACAACCCGGATTCCTCCGTCCTGGTGACCATCAACAGAGATGTGGGGGTCCGAGCCCATAGCTAGAGGAGAAAGGAATGAACCTGTGTTAATTCTACACTTTCAGCAAAGCAGACAGGAGCCTGACCTTCAGGAGAAGTAGCAAATTAACCCTTTTCTCTGTCCCCAGCACCCACCGTCAGAGCGAGCTATGTGGAAAACTCACTGCAGGTGTGTGTCATTGAGTGCTGGGCGGCCTGGTCCCTTCACTATGGCTCAGCTAGATACCAGAATCTCACTAGTGCACACACCCTCGAAAGCTGAACACTTAGCTTAGTGTGGACAGTGCATGTTAGAGGACAGGGCCTAGCCCAAAGCCCACTGAAGTCACTGGAAAAGGCCCTTGGTGATCTCTGGTCTGAAGCACCTAGCAGAGCAGTAATTAAGCATTTTAGTGCCCGGGGTGAGCAAGCATATTTGAGCTTTTTTTCATCTTTTTTCTGCACAGTGGCAACATGTATGGGGGGGGGGGGGCGACATGGGGTCACATGCCCCAACAGATTTTATAGTTGCGTCTCCCCCAACCCAGACAGGATGGGTAGCCTGCTGAGAAAGTCCCTCCTGAACCCAAGCTGTGTGGGACTGGTCCAACCAAGCTCTGCCATGTGGGGCGGGCCCAACCAAGCCCTGCCACGCAGGGCTTTACTAGTCACCTCTGTTTCCACCCCATTTTTCCATCCCTGCAGCTTTGTGCCCTGGGCGACTGCCCCACTTGCTCTGCCCTGCTTATGGCCCTGGCACCTGGACTCCTAAAATTGCCTGTTCAATCCCATCACACTGGACTCAGCCCTTCACTAGAAGATAGGTTAAGTTTTGGACAGTTTACTTTATTGGTATCTCAGCAATGAAATAGTCAACAATGATGATATTTTAAATGTCATCATTATGTTTCAGAGTCAATATCCCAATGAGATGATTGGGACATTCACATCTCTTCACCAATTATTTCAGGATGTTGCTGGATTCAGGAAGACAAAAGTGCTTCAGTTACACTTGTTTCATGTTTGAAAAGTTTCAAAACTACAAAAATTTGCCATATAATTATGTGGAAATTCCACAGAGGTGAAACTATTCTAACTGTCTTTGATTATTGTTTCAACCAATTTATTCAGTTCTGAAGTAAATCCAAGGGTCATCTCTAGCACCATATTTACTGATAGTTAAAACACTGGCTGCCTTCCATTCCTCCAGTCGAGCAGTGATTTTGACGTTTGCATGATTTTATTTGCAGCTCAGCCACTGAACTCTTAAATTCATATAACTGTTCTGAAGGAACTCTTGGTGACGCCTTGCTATTTAACTCATTAGTTTGTTCCAGCTTTTCTTCTTTTGATACATCATTCTCTGACAATGCCTCATCTTTATTAGCTGAGAAGAGCAGATATCTCCTCTGTGCTGACGACTGGCACAAAGAAAACCTTTAGCTTCTCTGTAATGTCCTTATCCTCTTTGATTGCTCCCTTTCTTCTGTATTGGTACACCTTACCCACCAACTCTCTGGCAGACTACCAACCCCTGATAAACACTGAAACAATTTCTTGATATTTGTTTTTGGCTTTGGCTTTTATTCTCCCCCTCCTAATTTATATCTTATGCCTTACATTGCAGTTTCCTTCTATTGGTTTCATCTGGGCTGGGTTTCCTTTTTTATGGGGAAATTAATATTATAGAGACTAAGTCTGAGAGTAAATTCATTCTGACTATTTTCATATATTTCTTCAGGTGACATGTCACTTTATTGCTTTATCTAAAAATGATTATTTCACAATTCAATTTGTCATTTATATTGAGTTTTGAGCTATCAGTAGATAGAGATACTGATATACTCTGACAGCATCCTGAGATACTCTGACAATGTTCTTCCTGATCTTAGTTCCTGAGCAGAGCTGGGCAGGAAGCAGTTTTCCTGCCCTGTGAAAATTTTCAAGATATATACAAAACATTTCTCCTAGCAAACTGAGACAAAAAATCAAAATCTCCAAAACTTTCATGAATCAAAAATCCCCCAAAAATGTTGAGTCAAGTTAGTTGAAACATTTCATTTCAATTTTGACTACTTTTACTTATTTACTATAATTAGCTTGCATTTTAAAACAAACAATTCATTTTAACTGGAAAACGGATGTTCTCATGTTATAAATGTCAAAACAAAAACATTTTGACAATTTTGAAACTTTTTTTCAAAAATTTTGAGTAAAAAAATCAGTTGAAACCAACTCTTTCCTGTAGAAAATTTCATTTTCAACAAATCAGCAATTTTTGATGAAAGAAAAGCTTGGTCAAAAACTTCCCGACCAGCTCTATTCCAGAGGGGTACAGGACTATGAAAATAACAAGGCGATTCCAAAAGAAGTCGATCCTATTGTATGACTCGAAAAAAAACAGTTAATAGACATAGATCCAGATCCAGAGAGGATCTGAGTAACTGCAGTTTCAGTGGGAGTCATCAGTGATCAGCCCTTCTCGAGGTTTGGCTCATAATATGGAAGGGGGAAAAAAATAAACATGCTGGAAAGGTTTCAGATGACGTGTTCTATGTTTAAATAGGCAAATGACAGACACCTGATATAAGCAGAATCTAAGGAAAAAGAGTGAGGGGGTGTCACAGCTTTGTCAAGCACCCCCTCTTGGCCACTCACCAGACTGTTGTAAGGGGATCCAGCCATTGAATCCCATGTGTTCAAACAGAATTCATAAGTCCTCAAATCATCACAGTGGGTTTGTTTATTGCCAGAGAAATATTTGAACTCTATATTACTCTGTTTAAAATCAAATTTAGAAACTGCCCCAAGTACAGAGCACACAAGCAAAATTCTTCCATTTTCCCTCAGGAATTGACTCTGCAATGCAATAATTGGAAGCTAAAAGAGAATTCTGGATATTCATGTGTGAATGAGAGCGATCAAGAGGTAAATCACAATGAGTGATTACTCCATTTATTATACTGCTGGCAAATCAAAACAATTAAACACAATAACTAACCTGATACCATTAGTTCCAATATGGCTTCTTCATAAGAGATACTGTATTGAAAAAAGCATGTGTACTGCCCATGATCAGAGAGCTGGACCTGGCATAGTCTCAGGGAAACACTCCCATTAGTGATGCCATCTTTCAGCAGCTCTGTCCTCCCATGATATTCCAGCATCTGCTCTTCATACTTATCCTGTCCCTCCTGATACAGGTGGACAACTGAATGATATTGGAATCGGAACCATCGCACCTCCATGTTCTCAGCGCTCATCCTGGGGGAGAGATGGCAGGGCAGGACAGCCTCCCCACCTATGGAGGTGGTGATTGGATGGTCAGGTCCAGTCACTGTGAACTGTGCTGTGAAATGTACCAATAGAAAAAGGTGATTAAGTCAAAGAGAAACTGAATGGACATTAATTTAGGTGCAACAGTGTGGCAGGGCACAAAAGTGGGCAGGGTGCAAACAGAAAGAGTATGGATACAATGCAGCACGGGTGCTTACACTAGAGCAGCCCTCCTGTTCAATGAGCAATGGTTCAATTCTCTAACACAGCCAGAGGGTATGAGACTAGTACCCACAGAGGTGACGAGGCAGTGCCTGAGGCAAAATGCACTGAGGAAATGCCACAGTTTATCATTAGTAAAGCATTTTAGTCACAATTTGTATGAAACCTTAATTGTGTGTGTTCATTATGCTACAGTCTTTAATTACTTGAAAATGTGGTATTTTTTCCATGGGAGCCCTGGCTTATTCAGTGCACAGGATGCATCGTGCTCACTGAATTAGCAGCTATTCAATGCTTCTTTTTATCCTAATCATTCAGTGAGGGCTCCAGGCCATATTTACTGCCACCTCCCAAATCCTGCACTAGATATAGAATTATATTATCTACTCAAGAGCTTTTCGGTGGTGCTCATCCCTAGCTGAGTGTGTCAACTAATACTAATGACTTTAACTTCACAATATTCTTTTGAGGTAGGGAGGTTTCGTTATCTCCATTTTCTAGATGGGAAACTGAGGCACAGAGACATTGAGGCCAAAACTGTCCACTAACTTGAGACACCTAGGGCCTGATTTGCATTCTTAGGGCATGTTACACGTCCACACCACACTCCCCTGGAATTCACTGGCAGTGGTGAGTGTTTTTCACTTTTGCAAATCAGGCCCCAAGCGCTCCCAGGATACTCCTGTGCAGGATACTCCTGTGCAGGGAGCAGTGCTGGGCTGTTAAACCAGCCACATGTCCCTCAGGGAAACACCACCCCCAAGAGGGGGAAATTCTTAACTGGGAGAACCTGGCAGCTTTCTGAAGTCATGGTACTAGAATGCAGACAAAAATCTGGAACCAAGAGACCAGTTTGTGACTTGCATGATCTTCCAGGGTGAACAGACATGGTGAATAACATGACACTATAATGTGAGAGAACTGGTACTTTTAGAAGGAGAAGGTATATGAGCAGGCAGAAATCTCATGGATAAACAACAATTCCCACCTGATGCAAAATTGTGAATGTGCAGAGCAATGAAGAAAACGACATATCCAGGCAGAAAGGAGCTCACAGTGAAGCCATGAAAGAATGAGAAAATCGTCCTCTTCATTATAACTTGTTCTGAACAGGGAGAGAAACAAACGAAATCAAACCCATGTTAGCAAACTGCTGGGATTTCTCTACAAGTGCAGTGAATAAGCTGCAGGACACAGAGTGTTGCAGTACGAAGGCCAGAAGCGTACAAACATGCCATGCCATATGAAAACAAGACTAAATGTATCATTAAACCTCTTACATTCTTGTATACATTGTTGCATGAAGCTGGCCAGATCTTTGATGTTACCCTGGTCCCTTTGTGCCTCGCCAGCAGTGCAGAGGGGCTGGAAAGCCAGTGCAGGCATCCAGCTGGGAATTCTGTCAGCGTAGGGGAATCCTCAGGTGGTGTAAAGCCACCAGTTCTAGGTCACCCCCTTGCAGCCCCTCCGTCTCCCCAGGGTTGAAGGGTTATTGGGGTGTGGTGGGATGGAAAGGGTGTGGCTGGGGTGCTGCTGAACTCCACTGATCCCCAGCAGATGTGATGGCCCTTGGGGGCTGCTGCCTGCTGGGGCAATATGGAGAAGACCTGAGGCTGCTTTCATAATGCCAGGATCTGAATTGGCTTCTGGCAGCCGCAGGTATTGGGGCAAGTGGAAACATGGCAAAAAGCTACTTTTGTCCTTCCTTCCCCCACATAGGTCCAGCACTAAGCAGCACTCAGAGCACAGTGCAGCCCTCAGACTTTCAGAATGAGTCACTGAATCCCTCACCTATGCCTGAGCCCAGTTCTGGAACCGTATCACTGGGGCAGGTGGGCAGGACCCAGCATCCCTTTGGGGGATGCCCTGACCACCAGGCTAGACAGTCATTCTCACGTGCTCAGACTCTCTGCCCAGTGACTGTTTAAGTTTTTATACACAGTGCAAGGGTCTCAGCAGGAGAGATTGAGGGATCCCCACATTGGAATGTCCAATGGCCCTGTGGTTACAGCAATCTTGTGAGAGGTGGGAGACCTTCTTCAAATCCTTTCTCCCCCCCGGCAGAGGGGGGAATTGAGTGTAGGTGTCCCACATCCCCAGGGAGTGTTGTAAGGGAGGCAGCAGCATCTCCTCAGCCTCCAGTGCTTCTAGCAAGAAATGCCTTCAGCTCCACACTCCAGGAGATGGGTTCCAAGCTGTGGGTCACTAGCAGAGATAGGTGCCTCCCTGCAGCCTAGAGTTAGGTGACTAGCTCCCTGAGAAGGGCGTGGGCTTAGCCCCCCCCCCCCCCCCCCTCCCGCCTTGGCATCTCTCATTGGCTAGCTAGTGTGCTGGTTTGCATGGATCCCATTTTTAGGTGCATCTCACTCCCAGTGTATTGTGGAGGCAGCCTGGGCACCCAACCCAGGTTTTGTGAACTCTAGTGATTTTCAAGGTGTCTAAAAGTTGAGCATTGCAACACTCAGCATTGCAACACCTAAGGCCCTTTGTAGATCCAGGCAGAGCTATCCCTTGGAGCAGTACCGGATGTACCATGGCGCCGGGCTCACGTGCTAAAGGGCCCCCCCCACTCTCTCCTGTGGGGGCAGAAGCTTGGTGCTGCCAGCTCCTGGGGCTCACTGCTGCAGCAGGGCAGGCTCCACCGGCAGCCAAGCTCCTCTCCTGCCTCTTCCCCCAGTGTCCCACATTCCCACCCCTTCCCCTCTCCCTGCCGCCGAACAGCTGATCGCTCACGCGAGGGAGGGGGAGGAGCAGAGCCCCAGCGCACTTGCTGCTGGGGGGGAGGAGGTGGAGAAGAGGCGGGGGTGGGGCCTTGGGGAAGGGTGTGGAGCACCCCCACGACCCCAGCCAACACCCCCAGCCCTGACTCCTGCAGCCCCAACACATACCCAGCCCCCCAACACCCCATGCCCTGACTCCTGCACACCCCCCCACATCCCCACCCACACCCTGAGCACCAAACGGGAGCTCCTGCACACACACACCTGCCACATTCCCACCTGCAGCCCTCACACCAAATGGGAGCTGACCCAGGTAAGCGCTCCACACCCCAACCTCCTGCCCCAACCCTGAGCCCCCTTCCTCACCCTAGCTCCTGGCCAGACCCTGCACCCCAACCCACAGCCTGCTCCTGCACCTCAACTCCCTCCCAAAACACAACCTCCCACCCCAGCACCGCCCGGCCCCATGGAAACAACCCCCCCCAGCGCCACCCACCCCATGGAAACAAACCCTCCTTCCCCAGCGCCGCCCCGCCGAAACAGCGGTATTGAATCTTGGTAATATGTTATAGTGGGCCCCTAAGGTAGTATAATTAAGGTAAAAGAAAAATGTCTTTTTGCTAGAAGTAGAATAAGATCTTCCCCCCACTTAGTAATCAATTGCCCTGTTGAATGAATGAGGTGTGAATGAGGAAGGCGTGGAAGACAGGCACCTCCAGACAGCTGCAACCCTTGGAGAGGGGATGGGAGCCAGACCAAGGACAATCAAACTTGTCAAGTGGGCTGACTAGAGAAGAGCAGACATACTGAGGGCCTCGGGGGTTAGAAGCAAGCACCTTCCTTTGGGAACACCCTCTTTGCAGCATTGGGACAACCCCCAGCCCAGAGAAAAGAAGCAAAAAGGACCAAGTATAAAGCCCCCCTCCCCCGCTCACCTGCCCCCCACCGCCACTGCCCATCCACTCACCTCCTCATCCCCCCATCCCTCCAGCTCGCCTACTCACCCCCTCCTCCCCCGCCGGCAGCTCACCTGCCCCTCTGCCACTGCCTGCCCACTCGGCTCGTCATCCCCCACCCCCCAGCTCGCCTACTCACCCCTGCCACCCGCTCGCCTCCTCAGCCCCCACCAGCTCACCTGCCTGTTTGCCACCGGCTCACCTGCTCCTCCCACTGCCAGTTCACCTGCCTGCCCACCACTGGCCTCTTACCTTCTGCTGCTGCCCCCACCCCCTGCCGCTTGCTCACCCTCACTCCCCAGCTTCCACTGGCCTCTTCACCACCCTTCCCACCCGCTGGCCAGCCGGCCGGCCAGCCAACCAGCCGTTGGCTTGCCTCACCCTGCCGCTTGCCTACTCACCCCCCGCAGGCCGCATAGTGAGCCCCCACGGCCACATGTGGCCCGTGGGCCATATGTTGTGCAGGCCTGTTCTATAGTATGAGACAATATATTCATGTAATGTTTAAAAAAGTTTTGTAAATGAGTTCTAATAGTTCATGGATTAGGGACCCAATCTTATGGCTTTCCACAGGCTTCTGTATAGATTATTTAGGTTAATCTTTCTACCTACCCAATGGGACTCATTGCTCAGTTTCGAAGATACCATCAGAGATCCTTAGTTTTGCAGTTCTCAAACTGTGGATTTGTGTCTCCAAAGGTAACATGCTTGTTAACAGCAAAAATATTTTAAAATAAATAAATAATAGATAGAGGTGAGAAATAACAGACCTCAACTCTATTGTCCCTCTGCAAATTTGTGTACACAGAGTCAGTCCCTTAGCTCTCTTTAAAAGTGAAAAGTTTCAAAAAGTTCAGTGAAGAGAAGATTGTTGGGGGGCGGAATAGATCTGGACAAGGAGAAGAAGTCTGGAGATAAATGTGAGAAGTGAGGGATGTATGCTTTTTTGTTAAAATATTATGTTTGCTGTTGAAGAAAAAAATCCAGAATACTTAACATTGTTTTAGTTAAATAAAATGATTTAAAAGTCTGCCTGGTGATGTTTTCCTCCTATTCAGCCTGGCAAGAAAATCCTCCAAATATTAATGATTAACCTGTTGAATTGGAGATAGTTCATCTCCCAATGACTTCATAAATATCTGCTTCAATTATGTTTGGTAAATGAAATAACCAAACAATCATTCATTTTCTGATATAGCTGTAAAACTCATCTGAAAAGTTTTCAAAATAAATCACTGTTTAAAAATGTATAGTGTGTACCTTTTAAAAATGAAACCTACATCTAGCTCTGAGTTGTGAAGAATATGTATTAAGGTAATAACAACCAACTTTTATGCACTTTTATGTAGAAAACCATGATTAAATCGAGTCTTCCTGACTAGTATTTAAATCATGATTTAAATCAAATCCACCCTGCCCGCTGTGCTCTTACTCCTGACCCCTTCATTCCCCAGGGGGGCCCACAAATATGTTTGGTGCTGGGCCCACAAAAAGTTAATCCGGCCCTGGCGGGGAGACGAGTGGTGGGCAGGTGGGTGAGGAGGCGAGCGGCGTGTGGGCAGACAGATGGTGAGGAGGAGAGCGGGGGCACAGGGGGGGATGAGGAAGTGAGCAGTGGCCGGGCGGGTGGGCGCGCCAGGCAGACGATGAGGAGACTAAAGGGGATGCTGATTTTTCCCAAGTCCTGCACCCCCACTAGGGAGGGCCCTGGATCCAGGCCACAGTCCTTTGCAACTTATCAAGGTGTCTAATGCATGAGGGAGGTCCATGTAGACCTGTCCTCACTCCACCAGACTGATGGAACTCCTCCCACCACCCTAGAATCATAGAAGAGCTCCTAGAATATTAGGGTTGGAAGGGACCTCAGGAGGTCATCTAGTCCAACCCCCTGCTCAAAGCAGGACCAATCCCCAGACAGATTTTGGCCCCAGATCCCTAAATGGCCCCCTCAAGGATTGAACTAACAACTCTGGGTTTAGCAGCCCAATACTCAAACCACTGAGCTATCCCTCCCCACCCTTTACCAATCAGGATGGGTTTTGCGCCCCCATATGACTGCCCCGAGAGAAGATTTGACCAATTAGAGGGTGTTTTGGTGTGGGGTGATCCGTCTGGAAGTGGACTGTGTGACCCCTCTAAGAACTCCTCCCACTGTCCTCTACCAATCAGTGCACAGCACTGCCCTCGGAAGTCCCAGCGCCATGCGAAGAAGCCATTTCATTCCAAGAATGCGTGTTTTAAAAATTGTGGAAAGGCTAAGAGGAAACGTGGATTCCTTCACCACCCCTATGAGAACTTTGGACTTTGTTTTAGCTCCAAGGGCCTTCAACATCTGTGGAGAAAGCGCTACATCAGTGACAGTTCCTAGGAGGAGGAAGGAGCGGCTGAGGGGAGCCCTTTGGCCCAGTCTTTGATGGATACGCCAGAAC